TTAGAAGTGCTCCATGCCTGGCTTGTAGGAAAATAGGGTTGGGCAAGTCACTCAAAATGTATGCAACTCCATAATTGTGCTATATCCTCCATAAAGCACAATATCTTCCGTCATTGTGCTTTCAAATTGTTTTTATTTATTTTTATTTAAAAGTTCATTTAAATTATCATTTCCATTGAATATGGTTTTGCATTAGTTTCAGGTGTGTAACACAGTGGGGAGACCACCATATCCCTACTCTACAAAGTGCTCCTCCTGCTGTTTCCAGCACCCACCCGGCACCACGCCTCGTTATTACAATGCTATTGTCTGCGTTTCCCACGCTGTGCTCCACAGCCCCATTTCTGCTTTGTGATAGTCAGTATGGTTTTCTCAGTTCCTTCGCCTTCCGCACCAGCTTCCCGACACCCGCCCCCCCTCCCCGCTGGCCACCCTAACTGCACATTTTCACCGCATCTGTGTTGGCAGGGTCCACCCTTCTGCACACTCCTGCCTCCAAACTGCCCCCACCTATGCCTTTTAAGGGAAAATCCCATGTCACTAAAATAACGATGTATTATTCTCAACACACCTTTATGCATGATGCTAATATTTCAATCAAGATTGTGATTGGGTTAGTTTTTGTTTTGTTTTGTTTTTTCAGTTCTCTGATTACAATGTTGCATAAATTCTGAGTGACTTGCCCAGCCTTATTTTCCTATAAGCCTTGGTATTTGTAGAAATAATTCTTACAGGGCTCTCGGTGTACGTTTTCTTTCCAGGAGAACACAGCTCACAACTTAATATGAAGACAAGTCATTCTAGTTTTAGGGAAGACATGGTTATATTAACAAGATACAAAAAGATGAGGCTATCCATCATAGACTGAGAAAATTTTAAAGATGATCTTAGAATGTCAGCGTTAGAAATTCCCATCTCTCCAGGAGTCAGTAGTAAGTATATTATTATTGTTCCATTTTATAAAGAGTAACCTTTCAGGGACATTAAAAAAAAGTGTATCTTACTGTTTTGTTTTGTTTTTTAATTTCTGAAAATCACATTAAGATTGAAGTAGAAAACAATACGTGCTACAAGTAGAATTGATTTAGCTGAGCACTGAAATGACAATGAGGTCTTAATACACTAAACCCCAACAAGCATCTGCTTCTGCAGTCCGCAGTTCACGTGAGGGGCGTGGCCGTTCCACATAACCCACCCTCACCAACTGGACCACACTTCAAGGTTCAAAAGAGAAACTAAGACAAATTCAGAAACATAGCGTTTATGAATTATAAAAACAATAGTTGCAGCCCTGGCTGGCGTGGCTCGGTGGATTGAATGCGGGCTGCGGACCAAAGTGTAGCAGGTTTGATTCCCAGTCGGGGCACATGCCTGGGTTGCGGGCCACGGCCCCCAGCAACCACACATTGATGTTTCTCTCTCTTTCTCCCTCCCTTCCCTCTCTAAAAATAAATTTTAAAATCTTAAAAAAAAGAAGGATAAATTTTTAAAAAACAATAGTTGCTTTTCTTGGTAAATGAAAACTCTAGTATAATGTCAGATTTTTGAATGTCAGGTATAGTACGGACTATACCTGAAATACCCGTTTTTCCCTGCATCTCAATGTCACCTGTTGAAAGCCAGACTTACCTGGTTGTGGCCGATGAATGAGGTGAAGTAGGGTTCCAGCCAGGCCCCGGGGGTCCCGATGGACACTAGAACATGGACATTGCCGGGTAGAGCTGGTCGGGAGACTGCGGGTGGCTGGGTTTCCGGGAGCAACTTTTGATCTTTTGACTTGATTCCCTGCAGGCCGGAGGCCAGGCTGGCTGTGCCTTTGGCCTAGGCACCCACCTTGGAGGCAAGAGTGGGGTCTCTCAGCTGGATGCATCCCTCCAGCCCATCCAGCGGGCAGGGAATGCCAGGTGGGGCTGGGAGGTGGGCCAGCTGACAGCGACGAAGACCTTGGGAATTCAAACCTCAACAGACCCGGCACCTGGCCTGGGAGTCCAAGGGAGTTTGTGAAATACAGGACAGATGAAAGCAATCCTCACGGCCACCACCCCCCGGCAGCTGCCCTGCCTCTTTTTGTCTGGCTTCTTACACAGAACTGTCCGGGTTTGTCCCTGGGGCAGCACACATCAGAACCTCCTTCCTTCATAAGGCTGAACAGCATCCCTTGTGTGGATAAACCACATTCTGTTTCTCCCTTCGTCCCTGGGTGGAAACTGGCAGTGTTTCTACTTTTTTGTCTATTTTGAACCAGGCAGCTGTGTAGACAGGTGTGCAAGTATCTGTGTCCCCGATTCAATTCTTTCTTTGGGTCCTACAAGTTGTTCTTTGAACCTTCCACAAAAGCATACAGACAAGCGCTATAGGTCCTTTCCAACCCCCTCTACTGACACACCTCTGCGGTTTCTATGGTGTTAGCTTCTCCCCAGTCCCCATCACTGCCGTGAGACAATAAAGCTCAATTTACATAAGGACTGGGGTCCTCCTCATGGTCTCTGGCAGAGGTAGGCGGACGGATAACCCCGAGTCCGGCGCAGAAACAAGTCCCCGCTCCCAAAGATCACAGGCCAGGCTCCCCACCCGCTCCGCCGCCAAGCCCAGGGTGGCCCCTGTCCTCATCTTTGCCCATCGAACCAGCAAAACGTTACACTCACTTCCCTTGCACCAGCAGAGAGAAGGGGCCTCTCCTCACGTTTGTAGACCAGGGAAATGCTGGGCGTTCCCGTGTGGCCGTCAAGGCCCGCGTCGGGCCTGGGGTCCAGCGTGACCCTAAGAAGCAGGAGACTCCGCGGAGAAGAGCGAGAGGCCGAGGGGAGCCTGGAAGCCGCAGTTCGGGGCGCGAGCTGACCCCCACCAGGCGATGGCTCTGCTGTGTCCCTTTCTGCACTTGAACCCCCCAGTCTATTGCCACTGGCTCGGAGTACAGTGAAAGTCCCTGGGGGTGCGCGTCAGGGGGTGAGCTGCCCCCTGACCCGAGTCCCCAGCAGACCCTGGACAGGCGAGGAGTCCCGCCTGACCTTTTCCCGCGGGTCTACGCCCCCCGGAGGGGCTGGACGCGGTGACTACGAACACACAGGCCAGACCCCGTTCATTCGTTCACGAGAGACTTTGGCCAACTGTCCTCCTGCACCGCCTGCCGCCGCCACCGCGGAGGGAAACCCGCCCGGACCAGTCGGAGCGGCGGGAAGGGCCAGCGTGTCTGAACCCCGCCCCTCCCCCCCGGTCCTGGGGGACCGTGGACCACGGCCTGTGGAGTTCCCGTGGGCTCCGGGCAGGTGGGAGGACGCTGCTTTGCGGTGGGGCAGGTGGGATGCGGGAGACCGGGAAGGAACAAGCTGAGCCCCGGGCACAGGCGGGACCACCGAGGGATGTTTCCAGCGATTCCCACTGAGTTGCCGTCACTCCCTACCCCACCTACCCCACCTACCCCACCTACCCCACCTACCCTCCCTCTACCCCCATCCACAGCCCCAGGCTGTCTTGTCTCTGAGGATTTTAGCCTCTAGAACAGGCTTCACACCTTGGAGTTTCTCGGGAAAAGGATTAGTCTGTAATTGCCTCTCCTGTAGGGTGGGGCCTGTAGGGTACGAAAGGTGTTTGGTCTCAGGACCCTGACGTCCCACCCAGAGGTATTTAAGGCCCAGACTTTAAATACAGAACTTCCCACTCAGCAACTTCAGAAGCATCCAGGATGGAAGAAGGGGAGAATTCCAAGGGTGAGTCTGGGCAGTGGTGGCGGGAAGGGAGAGGAGGCCGAGGGCAAGGCTGTGCCGGCGGTTTCCAGGCGGAGGCTGCCCGGCTCCTGGGCGTGCAGACCAGGGCCCCTTGTCTGGGAGGGCCTAGTGAGTTTGGGGGTGGGAAGCTACTGTGGGGAGCGTGATGAGCAGAGGGCCCGGCACACCGCAGCCTCCTGCAAGTGTCGGGCGTGGCTCCGGCAGCGAGTGCAGCCTGGTGAGGCCCGGGTGAGCCTGGGGCCCCCTGCCTGCTTTTGCGGGCTATGGGCCCTGTGACAGTAACACAGGCGCTGTTCTCGCGCCCATTTTGAAGAGGTGGAGACTGAGGCGTAGACCCGTGATGGGCCGGGTGGGAAGGTGGAGGGTCCTGGCGGCTGGCCCAGAAACCACAGGGCACCCACAGCGCCGTCCCGGCCCTCAGCCCTCGAACCCCACCCCATCCCAACTGCTCCCCGGGGCTTGGCCCAGGTAGGGCGGCCGGGGGACTGTCTGTGGGGCTCCTTCGACCCCGTTTTCCTCTTCATCCAGGCTTCTCGCTGCCCCGAAACACCATAAGGGGGAGAGTGCGTCAGCAGCGCACCGTGTACAGTGTGGAACAGCTGGAGGAGCTGGAGAGCTTCTTCGAGAACAATCATTACCCGTCGTACGAGGAGCGCGAGACCCTGGCGGCCAGGCTGAATCTGCAGGAACAGCAAGTGCAGGTGCCTCCCGACCCGCTCCCGGGGGCGTCCAGACCACAGGCCGCCCGCCCTGGTCCTGCGCCGCAGCAGCCGGGGCGACGAGGGGCCAGAGCAGCCGCGTGCCGCCCTGGGTCACCCCTGGGGACTCAGGGCCCAGCCCCGAGCCGCCCTCACCCTTGCGGTGCAGACCCGCCAAGGCATTTAACCCCAAACTCATGCCCTGGCGTCTCCCCATGCCCGGGCCTCAGGAGCCCTCCGAACCCGGGATCCTCTCGGGCAGACCGCGCGCGTCCTGGCCCCTGGGCGCCCCAGGCCGAGGCCACTGAACCCCGGAGCCAGAAGCTGGGTCCGCGGGCGGAGGGAGATGCGTGAGGCCGGCCGGCTCTCCTCCCCCACGGGGGCCGCCTCACACCCGGGCAGAGGCGGAAGCTCCGAGCCTCTGTCCTCTGACACTTCCTCCCTGTCCCCTGGCCCCCCAGGTGTGGTTCAAGAACCGTCGGGCCAAATACAAAAGGATGCAGAACAAAACCCACCAGCAGGACAGGGCAGCCGTTGCTTCGACCCAAAGCCCCAGAGTCCGTTTGCCAGCGCCAGCTCATGCGCCTGCCACTGCGCGACCCGGGTTCTCCCGGAACGCCTTGGGTCCTGGATTCTCCGGGGACACCTCGGGGCCTGGGTTCTCCGGGAACGCCTCGGGGCCTGGATTCTCTGGGGACGCTGCAGCCCCTGGGTTCAATGCGGGTCCCGGGTTCTCCCGGAACGCCTCGGGGCCTGGATTCTCCGGGGACACCACAGCCCCTGGGTTCAATGCGGGTCCCGGGTTCTCCCGGAACGCCTCGGGGCCTGGATTCTCCGGGGACGCCACAGCCCCTGGGTTCAATGCGGGTCCCGGGTTCTCCCGGAACGCCTCGGGGCCTGGATTCTCCGGGGACGCCGCGGGGCCTGGGTTCTCCGGGAACGCCTCGGGGCCTGGATTCTCCGGGGACGCCACAGCCCCTGGGTTCAATGCGGGTCCCGGGTTCTCCCGGAACGCCTCGGGGCCTGGGTTCTCCGGGGACGCCGCGGGGCCTGGGTTCTCCGGGGACGCCACAGCCCCTGGGTTCAATGCGGGTCCCAGGTTCTCCGGGAACGCCTCGGGGCCTGGATTCTCCAGGGACGCTATGGCCCCTGGGGGAGCTGCGTTCATGGGGGGTCCAGGTTTCTACAGGCCCCCTCCGCTCAACGCCTCTAGCCACATGCAGGCCTGGGGTCCCACTCAGGGCGCCCAGAATCCGGTCCCAGCCACTGCCGCCCCTGCGGGAGCTTTGGCTCCAGCCACGGCCCCTGTCCGGCCTGAGGAACCCTCCACCCAGGATTTCGGCTTCAACCTTGCTGAGACTCCTATTTTGGCAGACTTGCTCTCATCCAAAAGTCTCTTAGGGGGTCCCTCCTCTTTGCAGCCTGGGCAGCCAGAAAATGAGGAATCTGGGAACGAGGATGACTCGGGCCCCAAGCAGTTCCTGGATCTGTAGTGGAGTCTGGCCCAGCGACGTCCTGCAGATCCCACGGGACCAGACGCCAGTGGGGTGACTTCTCCAGTGCGTGGGCCCAGGCGGGTGCAGGAAGCTGGGGCTCGCGGGTCTTGTGATGCGTTACCCTTCTGTAACGTGAATAAACTGTTATCTGACTTTGGAAGTCGTATGCGCTGTGTTCATTGTGCTGTTCGAAGCCCCCCCCCGCCTCGGCATTCAGGGTGCACGTGATATTTCTGGGGGTTCTCGGGTCCAGGAGCGGGATTGCTGCAGGGGGTGGATGTTCAGCTTTGGTGGGGCTGCCCGTGAACTCTCCAAGGGAGCAGACCATCCTCATCGATCATTTAATTTGAATCGTATTTAATCCACAAATTTTTTTTTGGCGGGGAGTGGATGACTGACACCTTTATACAGGATTGAGATTTACAATCTAAGTATATCATTTTGCCCCAGTTGGCGTGGCTCTGTGGCCTGAAAGCCTGCCTTCCAACCGAGAGGGGGCCCGTCGGATCCCCAGTGAGGACCCACACCTGGAGGGAGGGCCAGCACCCACCTGGAGACGTGCGAGAGGCAGCGGGTGCACATTCCTCGTGTGCACTGATGTCTCTCTCTCTCCTTCTCCCTCCCTTCCCCTGTGTGCAAAAGCAAGCAAATAAAGTCATAAAAAAATTAAAACCCAATCGAGATCTACTGTTTAGTTCTTCCTTTGGATTTTACAAAGGTTTTCTCCAAAGCGTCTTTATTTTCATCGCCATGGCCTCAGGTACAGATGCACGTGGGTGCGGTTCTGGTGCTTTGTGACCGCCTGACGTTTTGGAAGGTGTTTCACAGTGTGTCCTGTTTATAGGATCCAGTTGACGAGTTTTGTTATCAGCTGATTCTGTTATTTTGAGGCAGGGACCAGACTCCAATTGTTCAAATTCTCATAACTTATCTGGGCATTTGGGGGAGGGGGGATTTATCATTTGGAAATTGATAAAGTGCGTGGTTATCTTGTAAACACTGTTTCCTGCAGAGACTGCCAGTTTGCCTCCTCCTTGGGTACCCCCAGGTCAGCAGGGTGGGGGCACCGCTCACCCCTTCTCTCTGCTCGGTTGTATCCTCTGCTGCCCCCTTGTGGCCGCCCTGGCCCCTGCATCTCCCCCAGCCGGTTCTCTGATCGGGTCCTGGTCCCACACAGCAAACGCTCCAATCCTCTTAGACTCCGCTAGCCTCGGGGGAGGAAAGAGAAAATTAGATCGGACACCTGGGAGGGCAGGGGAAAGGCGGGGAGTGGTCAGATATAGCGGTGGACAGCTCAGGTGGCTGCTAGGCTGTAACAAATGTTCCCGCCCCCACCCCACATCTGACGCCCCAGCCAGTGTGGCTCGCTTGGTTGAGCGCGGTCCTGCAAAGTGGAGGGTCACGGGTTTGATTCCTGGTCAAGGCACCTGCCTGGGTTGCGGGCCAGGTTCCTGGTTGGGAGCGTGTGAGAGAGAGGCAACCAGTCAATGTTTCTCTCCCATATCCATGTTTCTCTCCCTCTCTCCCCTCTCCTTAAAAAGAAATAAAATTAAAAAAAATATTTTAATAAAAATAACATTTAACCCCCAAATAAAGGAAAACAGACGCTCAAACAAAAATGTGTCCACAAATATTCATATTGGCCCTATTAACAATCACCCAAAGGTGGAAACAACCCAGAGGCCCATCAGCTGATGAATGGATAAGCAAACTGGGGTATCTGTGCGGCAGAATACTATTCGGTCAGGAAAAAGGAATGGGGTTCTAACACAGGCTACAACATGGGTGCACATGGAGAAACATCACTCTAAGTGAAAGGGGCAGGACAAAAATGTCCACCTATTTCTCCCGCCATTTCAATGAAATGTCTGGAACAGAGACAGAAATCGGATCAGTGGGTGCCAGAGGCTGGAGGGAGGGGAGAGCAGGGAGTGACAGCTTAACGGCTTAAAGGCTTCTCTTGGGAGGGAAGAAACATTCTACAGCCAGAAAGTGGTGATAGTCACACAGCCCCAGGAACTGACTGAAGCTTACTGATGGGTTCACTGTAAAGTGCTTCAAATGTAAGGGCTTTTTAAAGATTTTATTTATTTATGTTTAGAAAGAGAGGAAGGGAGGGAGAAAGAGAGAGAGAAACATCAGTGTGTGAGAGATCCATCAGTTGGTTGCCCCTTACACATGCCCCCTACTGGGGACCTGGCCAGCAACCCACATATGTGCCCTGACCGGGAATCAAACTGGTGACTCTTGGGTTCACAGGCCGGCGCTCAACCCACTGAGCCACACCAGCCAGGGCCAAATGTAAGTTTTCTGTTATGTATATTTCACCCCGATAAAAATAAAATGGTAGGAGAAGGACAGCCACAAAAGGACAGTGAGCTTGCAGTGTATTTTCCTCCCTGCTTTAAACACAGATGCAAAGCCCGGAGCCACCAGGAGGCAAAAGTCCGCAGATGATAACCTAACAAGCTAAAGAAGGGTGAGAAAATCAAAAGATAGAAAAGCTCTAAAACTGTGATTACACTGTTGAGCTGACTACCACCTTGAGATTCCAAAATGCCATGGGTTTGATTCCCCATCAGGGCACGTACCCAGGTTGTGGGTTCGATCCCTGGTCAGGGCTCATGTAAGAAGGCAGCCAGTCAGCATTTCTCTCACATCAATTTCTCTCTCCCTACCATCCCCCACCCCTGCTCCTCTTCCTCTTTCTAAAAGCAATGACAAAAAATGTCCTTGGCTGAAGATTTTTTAAAAGATTAAAAATAAGGGAGTTAAGATGGTGTCAGAGTAGGAAGGAGCAGATTCGGCTTTCCTCTGCTCAGGGGAGAAAATCCTGACCTATCTATGGAGTAGAGAGGCAAGCAACCAACATACTTCAGCATTTTTGAAAATAGGGGACCAAGGATTGTGGCAGAACCGAAAGACCAAAGAACTGACCCTAAGAAGTATGCTGTAACGAGGTAGGGTCCCGGGACCAGCGTGTGGTCCCGGGGCTGCAGCCCCAGGCCCGGGCGGGGCCCGCTGCTGAGTTTGCCATAGGGTCCTTGAGAGAGAGCCAGGTCAACTGCTCCCTCCCCAGCCAAACAAGGTCTGAGCGGCTCAGGGAGGAATCCAGGTGCTGGCAAACACACGGGGACTGTGAGCACCTTTGGAGGCGGTGGACACCGGAGAGGCTGAGTCACACAGCGGACCCCGACCACGACGGTCACCGGTCTGGCTGGAGCGTTTGGCGCTGGGAGAAGCCAGGCCACTGTGGGGAGCGGCAGGCTTGAACAGGAGGAATTTCTCAAGAGGAAGGAGTGAATAGACACAGACACTGTTTGGGGAATTCTCCTAAAGTGATCAGTGGCTCCAACCTCCCTGCTACCCAGCCGTGGGCGCGCTCGCCCCCGGGCGCATGTGCGAGCACGCAGGGAGAGCATCCCGGCACCCCAATCCACAGCAGTAACCCTGGGGAAAGACCTGATTCCCACACCCAGGGCGCAAGGCTGAGGAGCCAGTGCGAGCTCCGCTGGCCGGCCGAGGAAGAAAAGCCAAACTAATCATCTTTCAGCCTGCCTCAGCCAGCAAGAGCAGAAAAACCGGTTTGGCCACTTTGAAACCAAGAGACTTTTTAATTTGATTCTATTTTTATTTTTTTTTACAATTTTTAATTTTTTAATTTTTATTGTTTTTATTCTCTTTTGATTTCTTTTTCCTCTCTTACCTGATTTCTTGTTTTATTCCTTCCTCCTTCCTGTCCTCCAATTTTATCTCTTCTTCCTTCCTTCGTCTGCCTTTTGTATTTTTACTTTTTAAAATTTTTTCTAAATACCTATAAGTGAGACAAAATCCTGGATCTGTGAAAAGACCAAAGTTGAACCCAAAGAAGGGGCATCACAAGAGCTGGGACAGTGAAATAAATTTCACTCTGCTACTACAGAGAACCTGCAAGTTATTGCATATTTGTATTATTATTATTTTTTTTCTAGTATTCCTACATCATTTTTAATAGTATTTTTATACCCCTCTTCTTTTTGTATAGTCTGCTTTGCTAGGCTGGATATATTGTATGACCTGACAGCTTTTCCCTGATATCTCTTTCCATACTGTATTGCTAATCTACTGTCCTTTCACTCACCTGTGTCCCATTAGCACACTACTCGAGGTTCTGTACTCCCTATTCTTGTTACCTAGATCTCATAGACTCTGTCATATGATTGTTGCCATAATATTATTGTAAATAACTGCTGTTCCATGCAATTGTAATTACTTCACAACACCCCCCCCTCCCAGATCTTAGCCCATTTCAAAGTTTCTTGAACTCTATTACTGTAGTGGTTAACTCTATTCTCTCACACACTACACGTATTTACTATCCTTTACTCTCACCTTACCCCCAGAATCTGACCTCCCACAACCTCCCTGCTTTATAGATCCAACTCACAATCCTTCCTTCCCCAACAAGAGTCTTATCTTCTTTCCATCCTTTCTAAAAATCAGCTAGCTGTGTGGAAGATCACAGTTAACACTATACATAGTCAAAGGATCTCCTATCTCTTCCCTACTTGCTACTACTGTAAATAGCATACAATTCTCTGTTGCTGTCTTAAACCATTTTGCCTTCCCCCTTCAACTGATGACAAAAAAGAATAGGTGGCGGAGGTGAACACCAGGATACCCACTGGAAAAG